TTTAAGCTACCTATAGTCTCCATTGTAGTTCCATTTTTTGGTTTAACCAATTGTATACTAAGGATTCTATAAGGTATCCCCAAAAAGGAACTACAATGGAGACTATAGGTACCATAATAATGGAAACGAATATTTATAGCCGAGATATATCAGAAAGCCTATTATTTACTGTAGATCCGTATGATGGTAACTTAAAATTACACTCCTTAACAAGAGCCCAGTCGCGCGTGAAGGACTTCAGCCGGGACTCGATGTGAGTGAGGTTGATATCCTTAGAGGGTATTTGAGTTTAGGGTTTGGGTTTGGGTTTGGGTTTAGGGTTTCAGCACTCACTCTCGGACTTGCCTAGAGGGTTTAGGGTTTAGGGTTTATAGGAATTGTATAGGGTTTGGGTCCTGAGTTTGGCCGGGTTTTGGAGGTTTTGCCGGGTTTTGGGGGGTTGGCTGGGGCTGGCTGGGCTGGGCTGGGCTGGGGTGGGGGCTGGGTTGGGCTGGGCTGCGCACGAAACGGGCGGGCTAGGCTTCACTGCGCTAACTTGGGATGTAGGCGCGGCTGGGGATTGGCTTCTTCCCATGCAGCTCGATGCGAAATTCACACAATTTCTATTTATCCTGTTCTTGAGGGTTTGTAGGTCTAATGATTAAGGCCCCTACACTAAACCCTTATAGAACCTTCACAATAACCCTTATAGCAACCCTTTAACGGAACCCTACTCTAGTTGCTAAGGCCCCTATGTTACTCCTCAACCCTGCGTTTGCCCCTTCATGGGGACCTTGCAGCCGAACCCAGCGTCGGTTCCCACCCTACGGGTTCCTTAGCAGCCACGGTTTAGGGTTGTAGGGTTTAGGGTTTAGGGTTTAGGGGCGCTGTCTCTATCTGTTAAGCTTGTATGCAGAAGTGTGCAGCGACGCACATGCATAGAACTTGTGCATGCTATCTTTCTGCATGTGTCTATCAGTTAGTCAGATAGATAGATAGACAGATAGATAGATATTTGTTATGTATATTTGCATATATGCTTGCTCATGCATTTGTATACATCTATACATAGATATGTATGTACACATACACAAACATGTGTATGCACATGTGTATACTGTGTATATATACAATACGTGCGTGTGTGTATGTCTACGTGCGTGTGTGTGTGTGTACATGTGTGTAGTAGAAGGAATGCAGGACAGCCAAGTAATCCTTGCAACAACCTATGAAACCCCAGACCCTTTGGCGTGAAGCTTAGACCCTAGACTCTGCAACCTAAACCTGCCCTAAACCCCAAACCCGAACCTAGAATAGGGTTTTGGGGTACATTATACTATAACTATAAAAAGGAGCCCCCCAAAAAAAACAAAAAAAACAATATACTGTAGGTAATAATGAAGGCCCCTACATGATCTTGCAGGTGTACTCTAAGCCCCATGGCCCTAAGGAGAACCAACGATACACTTCACCGGCCTCAGCGAATATAGTTGGTCCATTGACTTTGAAACAAGTCACTACATCGGTTCCTAACTGGTAGAGACTAGGCAATGCTAAGCCTCCAGAATCCAGAATCTAGAAGATCGTTGAACATGTTTCAGGCCGGTCGACGCATTGCCAGGGCATGGATGGGGCTAGGGCTGCATGACCTCTGCGAGTGGAGCTTATCACGAACACCGAATTGCACCTGTTAGTCGCCTCAAAATAGAACGCCGAACTAGGGCCTTGAAACATAGAATGCAGTAGGTATTATGAGCGGTACAGTAATCTACTTGTAAGAGGCCTACCAGAGGAGACTAATGCAAATTACTCACACCCCAGGAGCCAGTCCTTGCTGGATCACTTGGCGCACCCCGGGGTCATCATTTTGGCTTAGGGTTTTGGGGTTCTTAGGGTTTGGGGTTTAGGGTTCGGGCTTTTCTTTAGGGTTTAGGATTTGGGGTTTAGGGTTTGCAGGGTTTGAAGTTTACAGGCTGGGGTTTAAGACTTAGGGTTTGGAGGAAAGCTCCGGAGAGTGAAAGCCAAGAGTCGCAGCTGGCGAAGAGCCTAGGCCGGGATCTGGGGCTTAGGGTTGGGCTGAAATATTTTTTCACAAGGGTTTAGGGTTTAGGGTTGGGCTGAAATATGATGGGCTTAATAAGTTGATATAGGCGTTTGGGCAAAAAACTCTGCTTCGAGAATATTGGGCATTCTGCCGCCGAAGCCGCTAGGGAGAACAATCCTTGTTCTGCATGCAGGTCGAGGGCATCAAGGGTTTAGCGTTTACCTTAACCCCGCATAACCTACCTTTTTAAGGACTTATATATATATATATATATATAAAGGTAGGTTCTTTAGGGTCCATGTAGGGCTTAACTCTTTTCCAGGAGATCCGGCATTATGGTCTGGAGTTGGGTTGTAGGTATCTCGCTGGCTCGCAAGAGGCTTGCACACATCTGGGGGTTTCCGAAAATACGGGACCCTAATATAGTACCCTAAATAGTAGGATCCTTATTATAAGTTATAAGGACCCAAAATAAGGTGCCCCTTCTTTTCGGAAACCCCCATCTAGCCTCCTGAATTCTGGTATCCACAAACCCACCGCATGAATCCTTCCTTCCCCATTTAGACCCTCAGAACATCATAACCACCATGTGCCTCAACGAGTAGCCCCCTTTGCAGGGCCGCGTGGCTGCATGATCTCGCCTAGCACTCCAGGCTTGTCGTGCTTGGCCTCCACGATGATGAATGACAGCGGATCGAACTCCTGCACATCCTCAAGACCAGGTCAGGTTGTTGGACACGGTATCGAAACTTCAACTACGCTACCCCATGTAGTGAACTGTCAGAATGCTCCAATCACAAGGTTCACTCCGCATGCGCTATGGTCACTGCACCTCAAGCCGGTAACTACCTATAGTCTCCATTGTAGTTCCTTTTGGGGGATACCTTATAGAATCCTTAATATATAATTGGTTAAACCAAAAAAAGGAACTACAATGGAGACTATAGGGAGTTGGATTGAGACAAAACCCAATGCCAAATATCAAGGCCCCTCAGAGGTCCATGTATACGACAACATACACCCAAGCACTATTCTAAGCATTGAGTCTCCGTAGATGCTCCGGACAATCGTTCTGCCGAGATGCTGGACGGTTGCTCATCGGCCTATGCGGAGCTGTGAAAACAGGTTTGGAAAACAGGCTGAAGTCTAGAACCATGGATTCTGGCATGATGATTGAACTCTGTTCGAGTAGTACTGGTCGGAGACCAGCATGAACCTCAACTTCAGCTGCTGGCGTGATGGACTTCGATAGAGTCGTTTCGTGGATCGGATCCGAATCTTCAAGCCCAAGTGCCGCCGGGTTGCCGAAGCCCGCGCTGGAGCAACGTGCATGGAGACTGCCATGGCAGCCTGCAGCTACCACGGTAATGCCCACGGCTTCTTAGGCCCAAGAGAATTATACACCGAAAGTCTTGAAGTTCTCAGTTTGCACAGCAATTGTTAAACCAACTTGTTGGCGGCTCATGAAATCTGTGAACGAACTGGCGTAGGATGATACCTCGGATCTTCAATGCAAGTTTCGAGGTTAAGGGTTAAGTGGAGCTGATTGGCCTTGCAAACGCTGTGCTGATTCCTGCCCGATGACTCGATATACACTGTGGCAGAAGACGTTACTTATGTTACTTCTTCTAGCGACTGTCGCATTGCGATGTCAGGCTTCTCAGCACACAAGGTTGGGCAGGAACAACTAAACCCTAAACCCTAAGCTGTAATCCCCTTGCCTCAACCTTACACCCCAACCTCGTAAACCCCTAACCCCTCAACCCTAAGCCAAAGACCGTCCACTACTCTTGCCAAGGATGCCACAGTCTTCTGCGAGCTGAGCGAATGAACACGTATAGAATTCCCATAGTCTCTATTGTAGTTCCTTTTCTGAGGTTACGTTGTAACCTCGATACAAAATTTGTTAGAACAAAAAAGAACTACAATGCAGACTTCTATGGGGCCTTTGCAAAGGCTCTGCGGTAAACTTAAGTCTTCATATACTAGAGCTAGAATATGGCAGCCCAAGCAATAATATACTGTTTTGAATTCCGCCTTGCTGTTTCCGGAGGCCGGCGTGAGATTCCCGGAATCCGCGCAGCTCCAGCCGAAACCCTCCTGAAATCATCAGCCGAGGCCCTGGCAATCGGGCAGAACGGGGCAACAGCCGGCGAAACGTAGACATCGCCATGGCTTCGAAATCCGCGGAACGTGGTCAAGAACTTTCGAGACGGGGTTGTTGTCGAAACACTGTACGATAGCAACTCGTAAGGCGCTCTATGGGAGCGGGGGGGGGGGCCACAAGAATAACTAGAATCGGCTCTGGCTTCCCAAGTGCCTTTGCCAGGTCGTGTTTGATGTGTCCGATATCCTTGAGCCCCTGGGACGCAGGCTTTTGAAAGCTTGAAACAGCAAGCCTTGAAAACTGCCGCTCAACCCTCAATCCCAAAAGCAAGATACCCTACAGGAGCCCTCAAGACGTATCAGCCCCTTTTCTCCAAAGGCCCTCATTGGGACCCCCTTTATTCTTACACGGGTCATCATATCTTATAACCCTAAACCCTAAACAGTATAAAACCCTAAATTTAATCCCAACCGCTTTATCGCTCAACCCTAAACTCTGAAACCTAAACCCTAAAAC